CCCCCCCCCCTTTGTAGGCATGTGGCCAGATTTCCTGCAGTGATGAAGCAGCTGTGGAAACGACAACAGACATGCTAGTTTTGCCAGTTCACATCAACTCCCTCAGAAGCTTGCATACTGTCAACACATGTGGAAAGGTTGGTTTGTTTGCTGTTTTCACTGCTGTTTGTCTCTTTCTTTCTTTTTTTGCAAAGTTGCGGGCAGATTTCCTGCAGTGGTTAAGCAGCACCTGCAAGCACTCAGATAGACTGTGTGATGTGATGCATACGCTCCTTGTGCCATTCATTTAGTGCCGTGTCTTAAATGTGTGTGGCAATCAACACTCTAGTTTCCAGATGGATGTGAGAATTGAAATGAAGTTGGTAGTTGCTGAATCACGTCTGCAGTAGCTCACGAACCTGTGATTTATCCTCGATCATAATTGGACAAAAAAATTAAAATGAATTACATTTTGTGATGTATGGTGTTACAGTTGTACTTGAGTGTCCTTTATAAGCCTCTGAAGCTTTTGGTCCTCTCAAGAGTGGGTTGCCTTGCACTAACTTGTTGGTGGATTATCATTTTGAGAGTGTCCAATGCCGTATTGATGCATTTTTGCCACTGTGCTCCCTTTTGTGCTTTGGGCTTCTTTTGGCATTCCGCTGTGTGCAGGCGAAGCTCGCTGACCTATTCAGTACTGAAAAGACAATTTCATTCCTTTTGCTGTTTTACGCCGACACACACGATGATTTGCGATTGAGGAGGGAACATTTGGCAGATTCAATAAACAAAGCATTCTCTATTCCTTCCTTTCACGAGGGCAACTTTGGGGAGCAAGTTGGCTGCCAGCGCTGTCATCACAGGTTTGATTTGCGGAAAAGTAGAGCTGTGGTCTTTTGTATTGATCTTGCACAACAGGCAGAGCTGTCGTCGCAGATTTGGTCTACCAGATGATGATGGATCCCGAATTGAAATCAACGGCACCCACCCACATATCTTCTTTGTTATACAAACTCCTGATAAGTCTACTGACAAGGCCATTGCAGGCAGGGGGAGATTATGCTTCTGAAGGCCATTTCGGGCAGGATCTGTTTGTGTGAACCTTGCAAACAACAGACGAGACGGATCAGATGTTAATTCAACAGATAAGTGAGACCAATCTGTTTCTTTGATTACGTTATGCGGATTCTTATCTCTTCATCAGAGTCGGAGTGGAGCACGCTGCGTAAGTGATACGGCCGGCAATTCTCAAGCTTAAGCTGCTTCTTTTATTACGTGATGTGGACTCTGTTCTCTCTTCATCAGCGTCAGAGTCGCACACACTGCGTAAGTGATGGGACCAACAATGCTGAAGCTTTACGTCTGAAAGCAAGTTTTGCACCAACTGGGAAATGGCATTTTGTATTAATCGCTCGCATCGAACGCCCTGCAAACAACCTTTCCGTCACCGTCATTACGATAGCTTCTTCAACAACCAATTAACACTTGTACAAACAGTTCCTCTATCCCTTTTGCTGCGCCTACCAGGATGGATAGCTTCCATTGTGTTTTTTTTTTTTTTTTTTTTTTCTGACGTAGACATCCCCAAAAAGGATGTATTGAAGAACAAGAATTAATCCAACTACAGACTTAGGGGTGAGCTCCATTGAGCTATGTCTAAACATAGGTGTCACAATCCGACCCGCACTGTCCAGAGTTGATTATCTCATCGTATTGTGGCGTCATATCTCCCTGCAAAGGCTTAAGCATAGTTTAGTTGGGGCTCGTCCCCTTATGGCCGTGTAAAGCACCTCCTCTGCAAATTCAGAGGAAATGATGATGAGGATGAGGGGAACAGGACAGGAGGGGGGGGGGGGGGGGGGCGCT